CGAACAAAACGAGTGTCATTCAATAAAATTGACATTTCAAGTTGAATAAAATGTAAACAACAAACAGAATCTCATCCGTTTATATTTTTTCGGCAGTTGTCTCCTTTGTATTGTTTTGTATGGGCCTGTTGCGCAAGCCCATTTCATGCAATTTCGTATCCAATATATCATCGAATCGAATCGAAAGAGGAGAGATGATGAAGAGGGTCAACATTCAAATGGAATTGAAGCGGTAAAATGTGTTGAGATTCGAATTCCGTTTGCCGCTTTTTACTCGACATTGAACACAGTAGGCTCAATTGAATCGACGCATTGTTTAGCAATAGATAAGTGCAACAAAGATAGACAGAGTCAATGTTATGAGCAGTTGTTTGTTTTTGATACTTTTGAAAACGTATCCATTTTTAGCGGCTGATTGAATGTAATTTGATGTGAAAAATTGCATCGAAAAAAAAACGTGCGCTGACGGAAGCTTGTAGTACACGTGTGATTTTTGTCGACGACAAACAACAAAACTTTTCCTTTTTTGCGAAAATCTAATTTCTTTTTTTTTTCGTCTGAAATGATGAATCTTTTGTCGGCACCGAAACGACGACTAAACATTTTTGAAATTAAATACCTTTAGGCAATCCGATAGTTGATTGATCGTTGCATTATGTGATTTTTTTTGCAATTTTGTGCCTCCTTTTTTGGTAGCTAAAATTAAATCTTGAAAACTGTCGATCATCGAACTGAAACGTAGACAAAAAAAAACATCGGTCGACGATAATTTCAAAGTGCCATTCAATATAGCACGTCTCGTCAGGAATGATAAAAAAAATAATGCAGTGGAAAATGACCATGCTTAGGCGAAAAATGCTGACTCAGTGTTTGAATCGATGTTTATTTGTATGTGCTAAATGAACCCGGACGGATTTAAGTAATAGCAATTTGACACTAATCCTCGTATTATTGCACAATTATTTACAGTGTTTTCACATTCGATTCCCACATTTCGAAAAGAAATGAGATTTCATTCGTGAAATGTTTATTTTAAGTCGCAGAACACACAATGCGGCTAGTTTTTGTAATTTTGTTTTTATTTATTCATGTCATTATCGCCAGTGCAATTGAACCCATATTATAGCAGCAAGTGTTGACAAGTTCATATTAAGACTACTTGGACTAGGTTTTCATCTGCATACTTCGATGGAATTGATTGCGGTTTACATTAAATTTCGATTAAAAAAATATCCCGTATGTTTATTTCGATTCCGGTTGTACGATGCTAATAAAAACTGTAGCATTTTGATACGAGAAAATCCACTCACAAATCGGCTCAACAATTAATGAACATTCAAATGTGAGGGAGAGAGAATCGCATAGGTTTTTATGACATAGCAAATCGAATTAATTATTCATTCAACATACACACGTATATAACAGCATAACCTTTATGCTAATAATGCGTATGGATTCATGAAAAAGAACGTAGACTAGAAGCTCACCCCCTTTTCGTCAGCATCGCTTCTGAATTTAAAAAAAAAAAAACATGAATGCAGAGAATGCAAGGAATTTCTTATTACATTTGCTCGTGCATATTTTATTCATTTATTACTTTTGTTGAACTGCATTTTTGTATGAATGAAAAGATTTTTTTTTTCGCTCAGTGGAATGAAAAAACCACTTGATAGTTTAAAAAGTATGTTGAATATTTTTTGGAGTAGAAAAGTAATGTTTAATTTAATCAAAATGTTTGTGATACACGAAAAATGCCAAGTAAGGAATGAAAATGTGAAATATCCTTTACAAAAAAATGAAAAAGGAATCTTAAAAGGTTCCATCGATGTATTTAGATGCCACCGCTATTGCACTTGTCTACAAAATATTCGTGTGTAATTTGTATATCATTTTTTATTGTTTTCAACATCAGTGTAAAATGATTTTAAACAAAATTTAATTAATGTCGTCATGTGTTATATAAAAAATGTGACATAAAAAAGCATAAAGATATTAAGAACACATGTTCACGTTGCGCAGATATATGCATTAATAAACAATCAACAACTACATTTTTTTTCTTCATATGGTTCCACGCATACGAACGATATCAAAGTAAGCTGTTGTAGTATAAAACTTGTTTTCGTCTCATTGTATAAAGCGTCATTATTGTTAATGAACAATGAAAAGAAGTTGCATTGTTTTAACACCCGCGTGGCTTGTCCAATTAATCATACGTACGTAATTTTTAGTAAATATCCACTACAAATGAATCACACCGTTTAAAATCCATCAACACTACATAATAGTGCAATTTCACGGTCAACGTAAGTGAGGGTGTGCTTTTGAATGGCTTGATTTATACGTCTGTGTCAATGGAAAATATGTCACAATTATGGAATCATCATAAAAGAATTGAAACGAAGCCCAGAGGTGTTTGTTGATATTTTCGTGCTTTTGTGAGCCTTTTTTTATTAGTTTCTAATTTAATCATTATTTATTTTCGAGAAGTAATTGAAGGTTCAAATTATGTCAATGGAATTTTACTCAATGGTTGTTGTTCAACATTTAGCCCTCAAGGAAAATTATGAAATAAATGGTTTGCAGTGAAAACTGATTGAAATAGTTCACTGTGAGTACTAAGACGGTAAGTATAGGATAATCAAATTACAAGAAATATGAGTCCAAAATAAATTTGGTAGAAAATATTTAGCATGAGTACAATTGATGGATTGTCATATTTATCATTCAACACCAAAACAACGCACCATTGTCAATGAACTGTTATTTGGATTCGACGAATACAATGCGCTCACATTTGATTAGCACGACTCCCATACTTTGCTAAGTTTGTCAGAATTTTAAATTGATCCGAGCCGGACGTTCCCGGGCGATTTTTTCACAAATGGTGCGAAGTCCGGACGAAAAGATTCTTAAAAATCCGGGCGAAATCTGGTTTTTTTCATATTTACCCGGTTTTGCTATGAATATCCGAGTTAACCCGGATTTATCCAGGCGATGTGACAGGCTACAAATATAAAACGGAACGCATTGCAGGCGCCTTCAATTTGAAATATTTAAAACAGTTGTATTTTCTTGGTCAAAGAAATGGTGGTGCCATGTCAAAGTTTTAAGCAGTTATGAAAGTGTTTAACGAGGCTTGTGACGTCTTCCATATGCTAACAAGATATTGTCAACTGTGGTCATATTGTTTCGAATGAAAATTATGTATTTGCGCAGTATTTCTAGAACTTTCCATTCAGTTCGGAACCAATTATTCATTCATAATGTAGAAACTGTATTCTGCTTCGAAGTTGAAGTTTTTTTAAATGGCAAATGCATATTCCATTCAATGTTCTTGTAAATTATAACTTTTTTTTTTGCTTGCGGTACTTTTTTCGAATTGTATGTCCATTGTCTTATTTCATCGTACCGAATTACAGTGCCGAAGCGTTAATGTGCAAAGTGTGCCAACAACGTTATTCGAAAACACTTTTTGAATATTTCAATAATTTAACCGCAAAATTATTGGAAATGTCTTTATGTTCTATTTGTTCGTTGGTTTTGCATCAGAACGAAACCGTACTCATTGTTTTGAATGAAAATGGTTATTATTTTATGAATTCCATATTGGCAAATCTATAAAAAAGTTAAAAGCGAACATTTTTAAGTTGGTTAAAAATTGAACATATGCTTCATATGCAAACCGTCGCATAACATACATTATTTCAAACTCTCAACTCGTAACAAAATTACCAAGACTATGCACACAAGTTTCGTTAACAACATTTAACATGACATTTCAAAACTGTAAAACTTGGCAATATCAACATATTCCTGAAACGATGTTTATGTAAATGCTTGTTTTATGCTTTGAATGTGGCGCAGTGCGTTTGCAGTTTTGATTGTTGGTGGCATTCATTTCATTTGATTCCTTGTAGTCGAAAATACGGTTCAACAACAGCAAATAATAACATAATATCTAATGTGATCCATAAAACTATTCATTTTAATGGTTATGGTGCAGATCAAAGGGCCGCTCGCACACACGCATCGAGTCCGACAAAACAGTTTCTAAACATGAAAAACAATAAAAAATGCACATAATTTTTTTTGTTCCGTTTGAAATTGTATGGCCAAAGCCGACAGTAAGCCTGAATTGAACTTCACGATACGATAAAAAAAAATGAAGACAAACTTCCGTCATCTCAATTAATATAAAATAATTTTATCCATGGTTTTTTTTTCTTGTAATCTCTGACTCACTGTTTGAAGGTACTTCCATATATAATTGACACAGTTTCCATGAAAAAAGTACTCGAAGATTACAAGCATTATATTTTTAGAATATCTATTAAAAATATTATGTGCTTCTGGTCAAAGTCTATAAATTATAAATAGCTCGTGGCAAAAATAATATTTTTCCAAATTTGTTAATCCGTAATCAAACGTAGCATCATTTTTTGTGCATTGTGCAAAAGTGGAGTACCTTCATAGCAACTATAATCGTCTTGTTTGCTTTTTTATACAATCTACCACTTGGAAAAAGAAGGAAAACTGTCGTTTTATACGTGTAAGCAAATGAAGAGTCTTCATTGAAGACGATAAATCGTTTTGTGCTAAAAACGGATAAATGAAAAACAAATAAACAAACAACGTCAGACAAAATGGCATGAGAGAGAAGATATAATCGATGTCAACACATTAAACACGGCTAAGTGCTTAAGCGCATCGCTCTCTTTTTCCATTCGAAACAATTAAAAGACAACAACAAATATGCGACGAGCCTATTTACCGAAAAGAAAATTTCGAGGCGGAGTTAGAACGATGCATACAAACAGTCGAAATCAACTGAAATACATAAGACGATCGAGTAAAAGAGGAGGGATACACAACAAAGCATACATGAGCATAGACATGAGGCGAACAATCATGAAATGATGACGATGATGACGAATTGCTATATACTTGTATTGGTTGTTTGCAAAGGGTATGCCAGGCGACTTCGGTGTAGCATTCAGTCAGTTTTGGTGTGACGGTTAGTGCGAACGATTGGTTCTCTGTATTTTATAGCAAGTTTTTTTTTCTATCCAAGGAAGAAAAAAAAGATTAAACAAACAAATTGTGCATTTGTTAAGACGAAAGAAAGAAAAAATCGCGTTGAGAGTAAAATAAGTGATATTTAAAAGTGACAAACGACATTATTAATTACATTGTCAAGTGAATTTTTAAAAGTTGTGACAAACTAGCAAAACAAAAAAAACTCTACCAAGATGATGAACGACGCTTTAGCTGGAATGATCCCATACGATTCAATTGGATTGTATGAGCAACCAAAGCCAAGATTTTTCTTTAAAATGCCGCGAGTTGTTCCAGAGCAAAAATCGAAATTCGAAAGTGACGAACTCTTTCGACGACTCAGCCGTGAGTGTGAGGTAAGAAAATGCCAACACCAAAAAGAATATTTTATTCAATTTTTCTTATGAATATTCTTCGAATATGAAAAATATACGTCAGAAAATCTAAAGCAGCATTTATTTTGTTGGTCAAAAAATTCATCTTACACTGACCTATAATTTCAAAGCGACGAAACGACAGATATACCAGTTCAGTTTGCAATGTGGATGAATCATGCATTTCATGAGAAACGCTCCATTAAAATTTGAATTCGTATGAATGGAATAACAAAGCAGAAGAAACAGTGTGCGTAATAAAAAAAAATTGAATATAAACAAGTGTCACAGCGATTACAACACATTTTTCTCTTCTCTTCTTTGCAAAACTTGTGTGGTATTTCCTATGATGTGAACTAACACTTGCTCTCTATCATGTCCCTCTCTTTCATGTAACATTGATATTTAAAATTATAATGATTTGCCGACGTAGTCGGTGTTTTCGCCGCCGCCGTTGTTGTCGTCGTCGACACTACCGTCGCTTAATCGTCGTTTTCTAGAAACAACAACAGTGTGCATAATCAACTTTATATACATTCAGATAGAGATCGATACACACAATTTCGAGCCGGTGTGTGGATACGTGAATTGACTTGACCAGTTCGTTTGCATGACGTAGCTATACGATTTCAGCGTATTGCGATTTATTTTCGGGAATCAATAAAAGTACCTGTTTTGTTATTTTTTTTCTCTTCTTGATCGTAAACAAAGCCTCAAGCAAACACACGACGGAGGCGAGAATCGTATGCAATGGAAATATTTTTTTTTGTTCAGTAATTTGTCCGCTCAAAGTCATTCAATCTGGATATATAAATTTTTAATTTTATCTTGGAAATGTTTCTAAAGAATTTCTTGCGCCACATGTGCAAGCAACGACTTTTTTTTGGAATGCCTTTAAAGGAATAAATGTTTTCATATGGAAAATTGTATTGTTTAACTTGAAAAATGTCTTTCTTTTCATTTCTATAGATTCGCTATACGGGATACAGAGATCGTCCAATAGAAGAGCGACAAATACGGTTCCAAAACGATATTCGCACTCAAGGACGTACAGAGATTGCATTTGTGGCATCCGGAACGAATTTGCAACTAACATTCAATAACAATATGACGCCATATGGACCCCATGAACGTGAATTAGATTTTGAAAAAGAACCAGGCAAAGTAAGTGCCGTTTTTTTTATCTAGCTCAACAAAAAATGTGAACAAGCATGACAATTTGTGAATCAATTAGAAATGTAAACAATAGTTCGGTCGAAATGCACTCGTATTTGAGTGATTACGTCATTTTAAGTTCAAGTTTGATTGATATGATACGCTTATTAAATCTTATTGTCCCACAGTCAATATAAGTAATTTGACATTTTCATAATAAATTCGGTTTGATTCAAATTTCATTAAAAAAAAAAACACCAGAAAAGCTGGAATTTTCGTAAACATGTAATATGAAGTAGATAATTGAATACAATTTTATAAAATGAGCATTAAATCCATGTGTGCATGTTGCACACAAATTTGGCGTGACTAAAACCAATTTTAAGGCAGCTCTTCCCATTATTTCGTTAATTCGATATGAAAAAAGACCTTTTTCCCAAAAAAAAGTGTTTCCCATTGAGGATGCACTAGAAAAAATTGAAATAAAGACACGCAACATTCTCTTTTCAGCATTTTTTTTATTTTCCATTCATTGAACTCTTCTTGAATTGTCTGGACAAGCCAAAAATCGATATTTTGTGCATCTTCAAATTGAAGAACATTCTTTTTTTCTCTCGTGAAATGCGATTTTATTTGCTTATGTAAAGTCAGCCATTTTTGTTCTATTTACTCAAACCAGTAAGTAACTGGTGCCCAACGAGACAAAAAAAAAACAGTTGAGATCATGCGCAATTCATCTCATTCAGTTTCATGATGCAGACAGACGATGCAAGGATTTATTCAATCATTTCTATGAATCGGCGTTACACTGAAAAATGGTCTCTTCGGAAGCATCACTCTGATATATTCTATTTGGTGGTCTCGAAAAAATATCGAATTTCAAGGATATAAATCGGTGTAGATGCGAGTAATTTATTTGAATTTTTGACATGTTTACAAGCTATAAAAGCAAATTAAACGACATAAACTAACAAACTGGTGACGCCTTTGTTCACGAGCCACTTTCACTGGTTCACTGACGAAAATCCTTTAAAACCAATTTTCCGGCGGCGATACATTCGATATTGATTGGTGCCATCGATGTAAAATCGTGACACAAACACGTGTTCATCTCAGGTTTAATGTCGCCGTGTCCAGAAATTGATATTCTTAAAAGTGTGCTTTGACACGTACATTGCAAAGACTGTACGTTTTCAAGAGTTCTTCAACTCCATATGTTGAATAATTGCAAGAGTATTTAAGGGCTCTTTGCTTGTGCATTTCGGGGCACTCGAGCAAATTGACTTTTGAACGGATTTCAATTAGTCATCAAAGTTTCGTGGAAGAGAAAATCTATGTTTTTCGACAACAAATTTCTAAATCGTAAATATTTTTATGCCGTTTTTGGGTATATTGTTTGGGAGTTGACATCAAGTAAGTCATTTGTCTTTCGAACGGACATTTTTGTTTGAAACTAACAACAAAAATGGTAATAAAATAGATTTCGTCGAAAGAAAAAATCTTAGCATGAATTCAATGGAACTTCCTTCGAGAAATATCACCTTGAGTTTTTGAAGAGAGAAAAAAAAGCAGAAATTGTGAGCTTAAGCAACAAACATAGCAAGTAAGAGATCAACATCATCGTCGTCATCAGGTAGCCGCCTGCGAAGCAAGAACTACTTTGATTTGTTTGTTGCTTTTGCTTGACATTATTATTTGTCGGTATTGTTTTGTTGTCACATTCACAAACAGCATTTTCTGGGTTCGTTTCCTTTCATTGCCGATGGGCTTTGTGTATATTCATATCGATGTCGATTCTAAGACACGATCAGTGTAACGAAAAAAGGCAAATAAACACAAACGCCAAATGGTGCTAAAAACGAAATATCTTTTGAAAATGAGAGAAACAACACAGAGAAAGAGGCAGAGAGAAAAGAAGAAGGAAAAAACAACTGATACGGAGAATGAATGTGATAACAAAAAGGAACGAATGTCGAAACCTAAGCAGAGAGCGAACAGCAGCTACAGTAGAATAAGTGTCAGTTAATAAACGCTCTATGCGAATTAGGATCATTTCAAAGTTAAATGGTATATATCTTGCGCCTTTGTATTTATCTATCCGGATTTGTTTTCGATTTTTTTCATACCTGAAGAAACGTAGAATTACAAACACAATACATTACTCATTCGGACTCAACGATATGCAATCGATCTGCAGGCTTTTTAAACAAGTTTGTCTTATTTTTTTTTATTTTTTTCGGTTGCTACATTGGATTTTATCTGAAATCAATTTTTGCTTTGTTCCTTTTCTATTTCATCAGATTACTCAGAAAAATAAAAAAAAAGTAATTTTAACGAAAAAAATCACAATCCAATATCTCTTCTTTTAACAATAAAATGAGTCGAATGAGGTGCATTATTGATCTTTGTCAGATGATTAGTAATGATTACGAATTATTATTAGTTCGGTGCAACAATTTTCGATTCGTAATTATATTTATAGCATTTGTAAAAGAAATGTAATAATATCAATGTTATTTAACACTTCAGTTATCGTATCAATCAACGGATTGAACACTGATTCGACGGTAGTAACAAATTGAAGGGCACATTACAGTGGAATCCATTTACCTGCCGAAATGCATTCCAAAACAAAATTACACAAAAAAAAATGTTGGAAATAAAAAAAACCGGAGAGAAAAAGAGGCAAATAATGCATTTGAAAGAAAAATTACGAATAATTGCCGGTTCGGTGCTCATGATCAAGTCAACATGTCTGTACACATTAAAGAAAAACAACAAAAACATGGAAATTATATAAATTTCCGTAAAATATCAATCATTCGCTTATAAACCTTTTGCTCTTTTATTTCTTGGTCATTACGAGAAATCGAACAATTGAACAATTTCGAATGATTTTGAAATTGGAATTTCCTGCACACGTACAGAGACAATGAAAAAGAAATGTACGCAGAAATTGCTGCTCCAAGTGATTATTATGCGATGCGTCTCACGTCAGACGAACGATCAACCAGATGACACACTTTGAAGTTCTTTAAATGTTTCGTTTTTGCAATTCAGCTTTTTGCGTTCTTATACCGATAATAGGTGCAAAAAAACCTGTATATGCATATGTGTGATCTGGTAATATACTATCTATCAAAAAAGAAACTCTTTCTTCTATTGCTCTCTCTACCTCCCTTTCCTCTTTCTCTTTATTTCTCTCTCTTTCTCCCTCACCATGTTCGAATTTTGTCTCGGCAATTTGCGCAATATCGTCGATATGGCTTATTTGCATGAAAACCTGACCAATGGTCAAGGCGTGTTTTGGGTGGACGCCATATGTACGCCGCTATAACCGAGAAAATACAATGTTTTAATACTGTGATCACCCGAAAGAGAGCTGCTCTCAAAGAGAGTTTCTCTATTACTGAAGTACCATCGAAAGGTGACAAAGTTCAGCTTATTAAATTATTGAACCGACATTCAGCCGTCGAATTCGAGGAGTTGAACTTTTGTTTTCATCGCTCTTTGATTAAATCATTTCAGTTAAATGCATTCAGTACAACCCATTCTCTCTCGCTCTTGGCCTTTTTTCACCCGTTTTTATTCTCCATCATCAATGTTATTTTAAAGTTTACTGTTTTCATCAAACAATTTTTTTTCTCTCCCATCCGTTGCTTTGTGTATCCCATCGAGCGCGTTCCTAGTGCTCTTTCGATAATTACAGGAAAAACGTAAATATTACACGGCAGGCGGTGCATTGATTTTGCACACGGTGCATCGTGATTTGAACAGACGACATTTTCAATACAATAATAACATTGGGTTGAGCGAACAAAATAAAAGCGTTTAAGGGGTCGCATGCAATCCCCTTCGATTCGGTATTGTCAATGCCCCGATTCAATCCCAATTTCAGCACCTCCACGGGATATCGTGTAATTCTTTTTGATTTTTTGATTTGACAAATCGACATACACTCAGTTTTTTTATATATTCGAACGCGCACCGTTGTCGATCTCCATTGACTTCATTTATTGATGACGCACACGATGCACAGCGGACAACTGAAAATTGCAACTGTTTTGCCCGAACCAATTTGCCAGCAAAACAAATTCATTGCATTTAACTAAATTGACACGTTTGATCGAACCGTTTTTTAAAGGAATTGATAATTCGATTTGAATACAGCACAAAACACCAAAGGAATGGCTTTGTTTATGTTCAGTTTTCACAAAAAAGAAACTCAATTAAATTAACGAACACAACACAAAATGACTTTAGGCCAAAAAACATTTGCATTGATGAATGAAAGAAATTGTTTCCAATGGTTTTGAAGCAGCTTCTGTTAAATTTCAAATCAAATTTTCAGAAACATCTGGTTACAATGCGTCTTGGTCAGTTTCTATTTGGGAAAAACCCAAACATTTTCATAAAATTGATATTGCAATGTTCAAGGCTTAACGGCTCAATGTAAACAATAAGAGATTGTTAAAATATTCAATATTTTATATGAAAGGAACCTTGAGGTTTCAATTTTTATTTCAAACTTTCAAAATGATCTTTGGAATTGAATTTAAAAAAATGCTCATTGCGTGTAAGTGTGTGTGTGGTGTCGTAATATGATGCGCTTTAGCTTCGTAAGACCCCATTTATAGTTTTCCATAGAAATATTGATAGTTTTCGGTATTTCTTCTTTTTTCGGACCTGCTGTGCAGCCGGAAGTGCCCAATAAATAATTAAACAATTTTCTATGTTAAAATAACATGTGTTAAAGTCCGATTTTGTTGTAAGAATATAAACGAATAAACACAGTTTGATGCGTCTAATTATCCTTAATCATAGTACGGACTGTTGACTCCAAAGCCCAAACAGAAAGATACGACGTTCAAACAAGAGCTACAATCATCAAAATTGTTTGTCTTTTTTTGTTGCCTCTGACGAATGAAATTTAAAACATTCGAGCAACACTAACACAATTTTAAAGGCCATAAAAGGAACAACAACAAAAAAGCAAAACTTGAAACATGCATGCACAATAACATTCAAAAAACCTCACACAAAGAAGACAACAACTACGTCAGTCTTGCAATAAAAAAACATGTCAGAAAGTCAAATGGTTAATTTCATAAATAACTCAGAGAAATAAAAAAAACGAGTCTATCTTTTGTTTAAAACACTCGATAAAAATTCCGATGAAACGCGATGAAAACTACATTACACGGATAATGAGCGTAATCATTTATTTACGACCGACTTTTGTTTGCGTTTGCTCGATTCGGATTTATGTAAATTGAGATATTAACGACTTTATGAATGAATTCAATTAATCAGACGTGGTTTCTTCTTTTCTTCACAATTTCAATAGGTCCACATCAAATCGCATATGATCATGAACGGCGTTTGTGTACGGTTTCGTGGTAATGTGGATTTGGAGCGTTTGGATGGGATCGGTTGCTTGGAGTATGATGAGCGTCGTGCAGCCCAAGAAGATGCAATTTTACGCGATCAAATCGATCGGTATAATCAACGTTTGCGCGATTTTGAAGACAACAAACGAGCCTATCGTGGCGAACGACAAGATATCGACGATGCCGTTCGACGTGGTGGAATCGGCGTCGGAGCTGGAATGTGGCGAAGATAAATCACTTCAATTCATTCAATTCTTAAATCATTTGTAGCTCCAAACATCATATAACTTGATATGTTCAAATTTTTTTTTATTTATGGATTTCGTACTTTTGTCATATAAAAGTGAGAGATTCACTTTGATGGATTATTATGTATACAAATTTTACCTTTATATTTATATTGAAGTCCCCATTTTACCACATTTTAGTTATTTTAAAAACTAACAATTAATTCTTTGTAAGCGATAAATAAAATGTAAAGAAAAGAATAGAAAGTGAAGTTGCACCATCTTACGTTCGATGTATTTTAATTTTTAATTTATCGAAGTCGCGAAAATCTCTTACATTATTCAAATAAAAGGCTGGTGATTTCTGTTTATTTTCAAAACAAATTTCTTCTTTTTTTTTTGTAGAAAACTTGCATTTCAAATCTAAGTAGTTCTTTCATTTTATTTCTTACAAAATTCTCTCTAGAATTGAATATATTTCCAACTCGATTCTTAGCCTACAGTATTGTCCGGCCACAAAAGATTCAGAGAACGATTCAAAATCGTTGTAGAAACTTAAATCTTGTAGATTAGATGCAATGTCATACTTCCATGTCTCATAGTTGGTGTGTCGATTCGAGTCCGTTATTTTATTTTTCATGCAACAAAAACCTTATGTTAGATTTTGTCGCTTTGACTTTTACTATAGAAAAGAATACATTGTGTGTGTGAAACAATAATCCACATCATTTTATTAATAACACTGCATCAGTCGTGAACAAAAAAAAGTGAATAAATATTACGAATATATTATAAGAATCGAATGTGGCTTTGGTGCTGTTCTCATTTCAAAATGACCTTTTAGCCTGCCTGCAAACTGACAACGCCGACTAATATCCGTATATGAAAAGGTAAATATGACTTTGCTGCGAATCAGTTACATCTGCTCTCTCGGTCGCCTCGAAAAACTGTCAACACAATAAAATCCAACACAATAAACAAACGGCGATCATTGTGGACCAAACACCGCCCCAAAAGAATGGGACATTTAATACAATAAATTAGAGCAAATTTCATCAAATCGCCTCGTGTGACACTTTATTTATGGGCTAATCATGTTAATTTTTTTCATTTTCATACATTTGATTAACTACTTTTTCGTTTGTTTGAATTAAAGAGCGAGAAAGAGAGAGAGAGCGAAAAAAACAGTTGTAACGCGTGTTAACCCTTTCATCATGACAAATGCAAATGGGCGTGCATTTGAAATGGACATTACAACTTGCAAAGTGCCTACAAAATTCAAATGAAATAAAACATTTCCGATAAAGTATTTGTAAGCAAAGATTTTTTTAATTAAACTCTTTCTCCGGTGACAATATTGATTCAGTTAGATTGTGTGAGCGATGCCAATTAATTTAGGCTAACTATATTGGATCACAAAATCAATTGTTCAATTAAAAAAATCTTTAAATGCGGTACAAAATATATTTCCTCGTTTTTGAAGTGCAGTCACACGAAAAAAAAACTTAAATCCAACAATATGCAACTGAACAGTTTACAATACAAATTTCACTGTGTCGCTCCCTATTTTACAGCAAACTGTCTCGTCTCTCTTGTTCCAGGTCAATAGTTTTAACTAATCATTTTTTATTATTCCATATAACTCATTTTGTTTCATTATAAATTGTTTCTGCAGTATTTCTCTCGCAAGTTAGTTTTTTTTTCTCGGTTAAACGGAAACGCCCAATTCCATTCAACTGTTACGAAGAGATGCAATGAGCTCGAAACAAGACGACATGGTCAATTCATAGAATTTCGAACGAACGAACAAAAAAAAATTAATCGAATGAAAGGGTTGAACATTGTTTCAGTATATTAATTTTCAGTTTCACATGTATTAAATGGTTGATTCATTTTTGCTGGTTTTATTTATAGTCTGATTGTGACGTTGCAACAAACACGTTTTTTCTCACCGCTTTCATTTCGGGTGAACTTTTAAATACGGTGCAGCATAACGTTTTTTTGTCGCTCACTATATATTTCTGGAATTCAGTGACGTTCTGAAATGTCTCATGAAAGTAAAAAGGTGACTAATATATATATTGATCAACACGAATATCCGCAGCCGGGATGTAATTTTTGAAAAAAATGCTGACTTTTATCCATCAATTGAGTGACAATAATGGATTAAATGTCAGATTCGTAAATCGTTCAAGTCAATTCGTCGGATTGACTTTTCAGTGGACGTTACAGCTTTGTGTAAGTATTGCAGATGTTCTCTAGAGGTATTAATGTCAATTACCAATCGCAAAATCTTTTCTATTTTTGCCTTTTTTTAATCGAAAAATCAATCGTTTTTTCCCAAAAATCGGTGAATTTTTCGAGAGAGGCAAAAAATCACTCCCATCACTTTTTTATTACACAATTTTCTACAATAAAAATGACGACATTAAATAAATGCACCCCTTTTTTCGTGAGCGTATAACACTTTTTTATGTAGTTCCCATCGAGATTACAACTCAATTGGCACGAATATCATAAAAAAGGCTGAAATCGATGTCATTTATCTAATGTGCGATAATATTAGACACGCTCACCCTTTTATCCGATGGCCAAACTCGCCGTTTATTTTTTACAGATTTTTGGAAATGATACGACTCGGTGTTTTTGATTCACAGCAGTAACTTATTTATTGCTTGTAAAACGAAATTGTTCAATATGGAAAAAAACGGAACCTTCATTGAGTTAATTGAAAAAAAAAATCGATTGTTTTTTTATCACACGTATATTTTGAATCGAATCAATCATAGTGCTTTTGTGGCATGTGCCACACTGTTTTTTTGTAGAGTGTGATATCATAGGTAAACAAAGGCGCGTGCATCTATTTGAAAGTGAGCTAACGTATGTTAAACATGATGCTTTTGAAATGGAATAAAAAGTTTAAAACAATTATTTGGAAGCACGAAATTGGGATCATGCAATTGCTGACACAAACATCCACCGATGCTTTCAAATCCATGCTACGATTTTAAAATATTTCATTCTCCTCTAACATGCAGATAAAACAAACAGAATTATGATATGTATGCTTAGAGCTGATAATAAACATAAATTCATATTAAATTCCATGCGAATTCCAAACATTCAACATGCTCAAGTTGTGGATTTTCAACTATTTTATATGATCCGAGCAATTTCATTGTGCATATTTTATCTCTCTCAATATATGTGTGTGTATGGTTGCGAGATGCATTTGCGAACATCCGTGAAATCCATATTCCGTGGATATTCAGCTAGAATAAAATTGGTTAAATCTTGAACGTGTCATTCTTGTTTATATGCCAAAGACGGTTAGGAACAGAAGTGGTCTTATTTTAAATGGATTTTCAATTCAATATTTTTCATCACACGTTCTGCACTTCAGTGATATAGAAATGAAATTCCAACTAAACGAAAGTAACAAAAACTTCAACCCGTTTTTCTTGATCTGAAAAATTCTCATGATTTCTCTATTGAAAATTCCCACACAAAATTATGACAGGAGACAAATCGATCCGATTTTCATGAAAATGTCGACTTATTAGCCGAAAATTAAATATTGTTATGGATTTTATGGAATTTTTGGCATGTGATGGTCAAAACAGATTCCGAAATCATTAGATTCTCAACGATTGATTCAAAATGGACTGATATTATTTGGAAGGCGTACGGCGCATAGTTTTTACCCTTTCGAATGTTATATCGATTAAAATGTGAGCAATACACAGTGAACATGGGCAAAGTAAGCACATACGTATGTAATGTGTCAAGAGATTATCCTAAATAGAGTTAAGCTGAAACTCAAACAATATTGCGATTTCAGTGAATCGCGTCCCTTCATCGGTGTGCACACACATAACGGTAGCAGGCTGTGTAACCCCATGTGTTTGCATATATTTTCAATTGCGACAAGATTTCTGTCGAACAAATCCGACGAAATGAATATAAATGCAAAGGGAAACTTGTCTGAGTCTAAGTCTTGTTTTTCGTTTAAATATTTCGATTTTCAATTTGCTCATTTTCAGGCGTTGCACAAATGACACTTTTAAAAAAACGAGACTTGAAACAAATCTCTATATTTTATGTCGAATGTCGACTGATCTTTTCACAACTGCAACATTCAAATTCAATTAAACTAAATTGATCGTTGTGCAGTCGAATGGATTGAGTTTTTGGTGCGACTGCTACGAATATGACGCAGAGGTATGGTACAATTTGATTTATTGAACCGTTTCATTGCATGTTCGCATGTTTTAAAATTCTCTCATTGGCTGAATGCGTGTGTGTGGTTTTAAGATGTAATTTTCTCTATGCTCCAACCGAAATATGCTCACACGATAAAGCATAAGTTGTATTTTTATCGCTCAATATTCTTCGCTTGCTGTATGATGAAATTTAACAAATTTCTTTTCAGTTTATTTTTTGCGGTTTTCTTCTCTCGAGATAAATTCACACTCACCGACACATTTCAAAACATGTGCTCGACGATAAACTCGTAACTTTCTATGGAATTATTACAATGAAACTGAGAGACACGCATTTTTCCTATTGTTTCGCACTCGAATATTATCTTTGATGGTTTTTGTGGTTTTTTTTTCTCTCTTCCGCTCTCCGAATGCTGAACAGAATGAGAACGAACAAATTTAATTATAATCGCATGAACTCACACGAAAACATGCTTATTTCTGAAGTTTTGAATTTTATGCTGTTTTTGAATGGCACCAAAAAGATAAAACGCCATTCCAACAAAAGTAAATGGAGCGAGTTATCACTGTCGCAGAGAATTTGTCTAATATTTTTCGGTCAAAAATCACGTTTTATTCGTTAAGTTTGAGATAGAACATTATGTTTTAAATGGCTCAATTTAATCAAAATACACACATGCCAACTGAAGGGAGAGTACCTGTATTGAAAGGATCAACTCCGACAAATGCGAATCTTTGTTCCATACAACAGCGACAATAATAATCATTAGAGACTAATTTCTATTGACTATATCGAAATAATGGCATCCTTCCACCCTCACATGGTCTCTCTCGTTAACGTTGAATCGTGACATTTGACTGCATTGCGATCGTACCATTCACACCGATTTGTTTGGTAAAGATGCAATTTCCAAAATATTGTATATTCGATTTCGTAATGATTTGTAAATAAACGATGAAAATATAACGAGAAGCATGGGGTGGTGAATGAGAGACCGATAAAAAGGCTCACCCAATACATCTATTCTGCATTATTTCAAGTGAAAAATGCTAACAAATTGCACATATAGTTTTTGTTGTTTGGATCGTCAAAATGCAAACAATGAGTTTTTCTCGTTCGTTTTGTTTGATTTTGATTGTTTGTTTGTAAGTTGACGCTCG